CCTTTCATATATCTCAACTTGTGAAATCCCTACCCTTTAATATACCCGAAGCCTGAAAAATGTGCCCCTTTCAGGCAGAGCATCCCTGTATATACCATTTATTTATAGGGAGAACCCTCCCCCCACCCCCACCCCGGTTGAAATCTTACAACATTGGCTTAACATACTAATTTCTTTATAAATGATGTGTGATTGCTTAAAAATTCTCTGTGATACACGATTTAATAGAAAAATTCTGCATGACGCATGATTGGTAGCCTCACCACCCCCNCCCTTCCCTTTTCCAACATCTGAGGGATTTGTTAGAATGATAACATCAACAATTTACAGGGAGTTTCATTAAGGGCCAGGCACCAGCAAATTCATCAGCTGTGAGGATGACTTTGCCTGCCTGGCTTGACCATATAGGGGAAAGCTTTCTTATAAAGAAGATTTGTCCACCTGTGAAAAACAGTCGTCCTCCGGCTGAAAACGTCACTAAAGCCCCTACAATTTAGCTTCCAGCTAGGTTCAAAAATATGCACAGCTATTTGTTCTTGGACACTATCTGTCATAAAGACCAACCTAGTGATTTAGGAGCTCGTGTCCTGTCTGTGATATTAAAGCCTTACTGAGGTGTTATTGTTACATGCCGTGTTCTCAAAGTCCTCAGATTCACCTACTAATATATAAATTAATAACGCTTCGTTCTGCTTGCATTGACCTCTGCAAGTTACTTTTCAATTTGATGGAATAAATCTTACTTATGATAATATAAGAACAAGCCACAAAAGGGCAAATAAAAACAGAAAAAACGCTTACCTTGGAAGAAATAATACGCGAAACACCCGCCATCTTTTCGAAGACATCATGCTCCTAGACACGTGGCCCTAGATTGTGCTTTTAGTGTATGATGGGATACTTCAACCGGATGTGACATCCGGCTAGACCTGCCCGTGTTAGCACCTGTTTTTGGGCAGATTTTCTAGCCTCCATTCAAGATTGGCTGCTTAGTTTACCTTCAGCCAACGAAATATTTATGCCCTGATTTATGCGAAGATAGTCATAAAAACAAAGCAGGGTGAATGTAGTCCTTTACAATGGATACGCTCAAAGACAGAAAAGCCAGACAACTCAAGGAATACTTTCAGTTTCAATGTTACCGGAAAGCCGGCATAATAGAGTTCTAATGGCTGTTTTTGTCATTTTCTTATTAATTAACTTTCTATAATAGTGGTAAAGCTAGAACGCCCGAACGGCCTGTTTTTAAAACAGGCAGATTCCCGATTCTCGTCTTTTAAAAGGGACGGGAATCGGGATATCTTCCGGGTGTCTCTCGAAAGTGTCACGCGATTGGCTGTTTCCACACGTGCTGTTAATTATAGCAGACCTCACGAATCGATAATGTCTTCCTGACGAAAAACAAAACAACGATGGCAAGATAAATTTAAGGATATTCAAGTCCATCGCCTCTCCTTTTGGTAAATATGTCGAGCAGTATTTTCAAACGACGTGGTACAGCTGTTGCGGCAGCGGTTTTCGCTTTTGTAGCGTTTGTGATGATAGTGGCTGCCCTGCTTTCTGAATACTGGGTTATGGCGGACCTTGAACGACAAGTTGGAAATTCGACTCAGAAAGGAGGATCTAAACATTTTGGAATGTTTAAAGGAGTTAGCAAGCAGGATTTTGGACTCGGAGCTAGGGAAAGAGACTTTAAAGGTAAACTTAAAGCTGGCCAAAAAAATTTTGAAGCTATTTTTAGGTCAGATGTTAATGTAGTGCTGTAAATTAGAATCAACAGTCTTGATTGTATTTGAAAACTTCTCTCATTTTGAGGATAATATCTTGAGATTTTTGTTATATCTTTATTTGCTCTCAAAGTAATTGTCTAATGGTTTCTGAAATGTATGCAGAAATAACCTAGAACCCTTTTTGGTCTAAAACTTGAATTCTTTCTTTTTAAGTCACGAAAAATATCGTGCGGGCAAGTGAAATGTAGCAATTTATAAATCTTCCTATATTAATGGCTGGCACATCCATTCATGCTAACTGATGGTAACAGTTTAGTAGACAATGTTTCTATCACCGAAATATGATTTACTAAACTACGGAAAAACAATGTAAATTGTTGCTTCGATGGACGTGTGTGTCTCAATCTCAGTTTATAGTAACCATATTCAGTTCATGTTTTACATCACGGAAAGTCAAAACCCTAACAATTAGTAACTTAACATGTGAAATTGCTGTTGCATAAAATAATGTAAATAGCAGGAGTCTAGTTTGTATTGGTAGTCATGACATCTTGACACCTGCATCTACAATTGGTTTCTTTACAGCACTACTCCATTCCATGCCTATAGCTGTCTTGTAATAAAGTGTACCCTGCATTATAATCCATCAAATATTTTTGCTAGCATGAAATTGGTCTAAACACATCACATGATTGAATATCTGAACAATATTGCCCAATTTTTAAAACTGCGTGTGTTGCAAAAAATATTTGAAGGATATACCGCAACAGCCTCCATTTGGTGTGATAATATGCTCAATATTTTGGACATTATCTGTTCCTCAAAGCTCACAGTTTTCCTTGAGCTACACTCTCGGAATACTGTTTGCTTCTTAGAACAGATATTATGCCTGTGGACAAATATGCAAGCATATTAAGTTTTTGCATAGAGGCTATTGTTTATTTATTGACCTCCTCGTTAATTTAACCATGTTGTATAATTTGGCCACCCTGTTAATTCCAACAGGTTTTGGTGGCCTAATAGTGGCAGGATGAGATTAATGGGTTTAGAACGTAACAAGCGACAATAATTTTGACACCCCAACCAGGCTTATACAGTACCTTATAGGGATTGAATACTACTAGCTGAGACTGTTAATTAAATATCGCAAGGAACACTTATGTGTTACTTCCAAATGGCATGCCAAAAACTGGCATGAGACTCATGCAAATGAACAGAATCTTATATCTTAAGTACACTCTCATGGTGTTGAAGATTGGTAAGGGGCCCTGGTGGAGTGCGCTTGTGCCACCAGGTGTACTTCGCAAATGCCAGGAAATGCCCACCGTGTCAAAGGCTCTGCCGCCAAGTCGGCTGTCGCATGTCCTCGTCATAACCCTGGTAATGCAGTTGTACTGCAGCTGAACGACAACGGCAAAAGGCAGGTATCCGGTGCCTTTCAAATAACGGGATATTGTGGCTAAGGGAAGGACACCCTGACAGAAAACCCAGGCCCTCCTGGTTGGGGGTTGGGCATGGGGCCAATCCCCCCATCCCGTAAAAAATTATCGATTACGGAAACCGGAAACTCTAACAAGCAATGTTACATGGGGAAGAGCACAACTACTTGCCTAACTCCAAATGATAATTTTATCACATGGACTCATGGAGTGAGGTAACAGTGGCTGCTCGTAACCGTGCGACATGGTGAAGGAGAATGTCTGGCCCTATGCCCACTTAGGGTTATGGTCAAAATCTATCTATACTCTCATGCTGAAACATGAATTACAATTATAATAATATTAACTTGCCATGTACTTAATTTTTTTGTTTCAAACATTTCTTTTTTGAGCAGTTCATTTCAAGGCAGAAAAATGCCTCCAATGTACCTGGAACATTTGACTTTTGAGGGGGGAGGGTGGGTCCATACACACCTCATGAGAAAATAATTCTTAGCCCATTAAGGGTTTTGAAAAACTTATGCCTATACCAAATCACCACCACCCCCTCTTCCCCCTCCCTCAAAAATTAAATGGTCCAGGATGATATTGCAACTCAGAATTGACAAAAGCATGTGTACAGAGCTATAAGTTTTCCAACACTACAATTTTTCCAAATGTTTTGTGAGCCTGCCTCTGGATCCTTCATAGTTGAGGAGAAATCTTAGACTCTCACTCTTTGGGGAAATATCCACTGAGAGAGCTCTCAGAGATAACGTATAAAACTTCAAGAGATTTGTAGTTATTTTTATATATATGCAGAATAATTTCTTCTTCTGTTGCAGTCATTGATGAGTTTGAGGGTGTGGCTAATGATGATGTCATGTGGGCGACAGTAGGCTTCAGTATTCTCAGTCTGCTAATGATATGTATAATGATTGCACTGTCCTGTTACAATGAGTTCACCAAGCCTGATTTAACCATCTGTGGTTCCATTGGGATATATATTTGTTGTGGACTTGCTTGTAAGTATTCTTGTCTTATAATTCATTCTAACATGGTATCTACAATCGTAGACAAAAGTCCTTGAGACACTTATGTAATGTAACAGATTATCTGTGTTTTAGAACTGAAGTATGAAGAAAACGCTGCTATATCCTTTATAAACGGGTTGCTGTCCCCCCTTCCCACCCAACACAACGTTGGCAATCAGTTGAAATTGCATGTACTAGTTTTCAACATTGTATGGGTGGGGAGGGGGGGGGGCGAGGTTAGGCAGGTGAAGTTGTATTCGCGCCTGGCGTGTACGCAAAAGCGCCAAAAGTGCAAATTTGTCCCAAGACTTTTGTCCATGATTGATTGCATCAACCTCATTCTCATGATTTTTCCTTGAAGATTTTCTGTCCCTTCCAAACATCAACTTAAGGAAGAATTATCTACATGTGGTTCTGGGCCACATTAATTTTTGAACATTTAAGGAGGCTCTGAACCCCATACACAGCATTGTTTAAAACTTTGCCAAATTTGCATCTCATTCTGCTTATCAAAATTTGATAATAAAAAAATGAGTTTCTCTGTGCCGTTTTTGAAATATGACATTTTTAGTACTTACAGCGAAAATTAAGGGTGTTTATGTTGGGTCATACTGTTGCTATGGTGACATGTTATGTCACAAAAATAACGTGTTCACCCATGATTGGGCAGTTTTTTTGATACCATGATTGTAGCATCAACTGATTATAAAGAGTGGTTAAAATGACCCATCAAAACCTAAGTCTTGGAAAGTGCTGGAAACTGTTCTGAGCCACCTTAAACAATCTTTTTGTTGTTGTTTTCTCTAGAATTTTCAGTGGCTTCTGTTGAGCTTCATTAGATGAGTAAAAAAAGAGGTTCATTGTTGCTCCTGAGATCTTGTTCCAAATACCATCAAACAAAAATAAACCTCTTTGGGTACTTCGTTGAAGGTCGACAGAGGCTACCAGAAATTTGCAAACTGAAAATTACCAGAAAATACAAGAAATTTGCAAACAAACAGATGGCATGAAGATACTTTTTTCAGAAAAGTGTCTACTTCTGATCATAATACTGCTTCCAGTATTTTTAGCCAAAAAATGATTGTCCTCGCATCTGATTGAGTCATGTCTGACTAAATAATATTTTCTTTTTTTTTCAGTTTTCTTTGTGCTAACTTCAGTCTGTCTGTTTGCTGCGTTATTTGAAATCCAACTCAAGAAGAATGTTCTGCAACCCCAGGATCAAAAGCGAGGCTTCTCATCCACTGACAAGGCTCAGCTAGGATATTCCTTCTGGATTTTGCTAGGCTCTGCTGGAGTTTTACTAATTTGTCCACTGATCATTTTGATGAAAAACATTCACTGCACACATTACTTTAAAACAAGAAAGCATGAGATATCTACTGTAGATGGAGTTATGCTGTATTAAGTTATCAGGCTTGTTTTTGCCTTTTCATGACAAAACACCAAGAACAACATTTATTAGGTTCCCTATTTCCCAAGCAAAGGAAATAGGAGATCCCTGCAAGAAGGCTACAGGATCTTTGAAAAATTATATTGCTAAATTTTCACAGTAAGGACACTGGAATCATGAACACTTGATACTTTTTTGTAAATATATCTTGGTGACCACAGAATGAAGGCTCTTTGGATCACGCGTACTCGATTGAGTGTCAATCAAGTGTTAATCAAGTGTTGATCAAGTGTTGATCAACATGTCGATCGAGATGAGTGAGTGTGAAGCGAGGGTTGATTGAGGGTATTAATCGACACTCAACCACAGATGCCTTTAGTACAGATGATCAGGCTCTTCTTGTAATGTACAAGAATAACATTTTGATGTAAAAACACTAAATATGCTTGTCAATAAGAGCCTTCATTATACAGTTACTCGTAATAAAAAATGTACTAAAGAGATTAAAGTGTTCAAGTGTCCTCACTGTAAGTGTCTTTTTCATTTCACGATGCAAAATTTAAAACCACTACCAGCACGTGAGGCTAGCGATGTTTTACAACTTAATTACCCATTATACAATGAAAGTGACCTATAGCCAGCTAATCATAACTATTACTTCTACAGTATATTTTCTTTGCATGCTATTAATGTGCATGATCACTTCAAGAGGTTTTGACTGAAAATGAAATGCTCCCAGAGGTACACAGAGTTTACAATAAGTAATACGGAGAAATTAATTAAAAAGTTACGGTAAACATTGCCTTATTATTTAAAGCTTTAATTAAATTATTTAAAACCTTTACATTAAGTGGTATCTATGATCTACTGACAGAGTTGGTAAGACTTATTAACTCCTTGAGTGCCTGACCATTGTATACACTGTGTGCCACACCATTTTCACTGAAAATGGGTGTCTAGTAAAAACCTTCATATGCCATAAGCTTGTTCACTTAAGCTATGGACATGTGCACATTTTCTGAAAGGTCATATAAGTCTCTTCAATGCAGTTAATTTCACTGAAGGTTGATGTAATTTGATAAATCCATTTGACTTCACAGCAACGGGAAATTACATTTCTGTCGAAAAACCTCCTACAAATCTCAGGTGCCGATAAAAGTGTGCTGGGAACTTAAGTAAATCTCTTAAAACTTTGATGTACCCAGTAAGTCGTAGAGGCACCTGAGGAACTAAACTCACGAGTACATTATATAGGCACTCAAGGGGTTAATAATATTCTTTGGTGTTTTTTTTTATCTAAGTCTCCACGGGATTGATATTTTTTGTATATAAACATTGTTTATTGCTAAATTATTGACTACAGTAATATTTATATTTATGAGTACATCTCTTGGTGGAGTTTTGAATTATTGATTTTTAGCTGTAATTTAAAGATAATAATAATTATGTGCGAAGAAATACACCAAAAAATTACTGTCTACTGATTGTTGGTCATCGCTAAAAACTTCCTAGGTGAGTGATGTGTGTGTGCTGAAAGGGAAGTGAGAGCATTGAGTATCACAGGATAATAATTATGAAATATTTATTTGACATTTTAAGTTATTCATTACAGTTTTTCTTTCTTCAGAAAACACTGCATAAATGAAAATTTTGTCCACAATATATTGTAAACTGGGTTTATGGTCATAAATGTAACTAATCCTAATTTGCTATGTTAAATGGCTTTGATGTACATGGAAATTAATAAAAGGTTTGGGTATAAAGTGTTATTAATGGGCTTGAGTGAGTGCAGGCTCGTTTCTGGAAACAGCAGCTGGTAATCAAGCCTATGATATTAAGGTAATAGCATTTCACAAAAAAAGCAAAAGGGATTGATGTTGGTTAAGGTATATGCAACTAGTTTTGTTTTACCGTGTAATGTTTAATATATTTAAATGCAATAGAAATTTTAGAAATATGTTAGATAAATATTTATTAAGCATTTGCACAGCACTGAACAAGATTAATGTTTTCTGCAAGTCCCAATTGAATATGCAATGCAGTTCATTTATTACCAGTAGCCTATTTTCTGCATCCTTCTTAGAAGGGATTATTTGTTAAAACAGTTAGAAACAAAATAAACACATTCTTTGCAATCTGGGTGTTAAGTTTATTAGTTCCTTCTAGTATTTTCAAGATATAAACAGAGCTGGAGGGTCTTGCAGGTAAATTGAACTTTCACACACAAAAAAAAGTAATTGATTTGGATCATGTGTACTAAAGGCATCCACGGTCGAGTATTCGTCAATACTCTTGATCGATACCCTTGATCAAGGGTTGATCGAGGGTATTGATCAACACTCAGCTACAGATGTATTTAGTACACAATCCATTGATTTTAAACTACACAGAAATTTGCGACACACCATAAGATCATTATGGCAACTTGTGAAGAACTTGGACAAACAAATTTGATTGACAGATTTTTTTTCCACTAAATAATATTTATAATAATATTATGCTAGAGTTGCTCACATAGCACGGTATATTCCATACTTCTGGGACTCAGTTGTACATACCAAAAACTACTTAATATAAATTTTCTTTTTCTCGCACTTTTTTAACTCTCCTGTGGAAAATACTACTGATTACATTTTCTTGAAGATTTCTCATTGACTTTGTAGCTACAGCAGTTAAGTTGTGTGCGCGTGATGTACGACACTTGAAGTGGCGTGCGCTTCTGCAACAAATTTGCATGCGCAACATTGTGCAAGTTTTCAACGGGTTTCTAATTCAAGCTGTTTTACACTCAATTACTATACTTTGTAGCCTTGAGAGTACTATTTTTTAGTCATTGGAAGTTTATTTGAACGTGTATTGTTATTTAAGGCTTTTTCATGCGTATTTGTTTCACATGTACGCTACCCTTTTTCCTAGGTCTTTCTAGTAAGTTCTGTGGTGTCGCGAGAGCACACGCGTAGCGCCGCGACACCCAACTAGCATTATAAAAGAGTAGTTTTCTCATTAGCAAGATCAGTTGACGCAAGACCTGTTAATTCACCGCAAGTTAATAAGCTTGTCCAAGTTTATCATTGTTCTGGTGATCAAGGCAGCACCGAGGCAATTATTTTTTACGCTATTTTAGTTTATGTAAGCGGTTTGTATCTTTAGTTGTTTAAGTTCAGTTTCATTGCATGTGAATTGTAAATTTAAGTCTTAAGGTTTTAGATAAAGTCAAGTTGTATACGACATCGTTTTACCATTACTGTAAATCAATCTTAAGTTTTCTCCTTTCACTTTTGTAACTTTTGAAGCATTCCGTATACGTTCAACCGCAAGCGTCATCAGCAAACGTAGATACTGTCACCTTGATCATCCTAGCGATAGCTGATTCATTCAGCACAAGTTGCCTCCCAGCACCTGAACCAACCATCTACAGCAGTGAGCCCATCCTTTATCCCAATTGGAAGTCGTCGTTTCATGCCCTCATACACTGAAAGAACTAACCGTCAAGCGATAAGATGTATTACTTGAAACAATACGTGAGTGGATCTGCCAAAGAAGCTATTAACGGACTTTTCCCGCCTACGAACGGGCATGGAACATTCTAGACGAGAGGTTTGGTCATCCGTTCATAGTAACAAATGCGTACAGAGACAAGCTACGAAAATGGCCCAAGATCGGTATGAAAGATCACTAGGGTCTTAGAAGATTTGCTGATTTCTTAACAAGTGTGGAAACTGCTATGCAAGTAATCAAGAATCTAAACGTCTTGAATGACTACATGGAAAACCAGAAGCTACTCACCAAATTGCCTGACTGGCTTGTTTCACTGTGGAACAGAGAAGCCACAAGAAAAATGAAAGAAGAAAAGAAGCATCCAGATTTCAAGACCTTCACAACCTTCATCAGTGCTGAAGCAGATCTCTTATGCAATCCTATTTCATCGTGTCATGCTGTGAAGGAGTTGGAAAGGGCAAAAGACAGCCTCACAAGGAACCAAAACCGAAAGACAAAGAGAAAAGGTCTGTTCATAACACCCAGACGACAGAAGAAAGTTCAAAGGAGCCAAACAGAACTTCAAGGCTGCAACTGCAATGTTCATTCTGCAAAAAGACTGGCCATCTGTTGAATGCATGCATAAAGTTTAAGGTGGAGACACGCGAAAACAAACTGAATTTTGTTAAGGAAAACAGACTTTGTTTCGGATGCCTGAGGAAGGGCCACATGTCTAGTGATTGTGAGAGGAGGCTGACCTGTGTGACCTGTAAGAAGAACCACCCCACCTGTCTTCACGAGGAAAGATATCCTAAGACGCCAGAAGAAAAGAAGAGGAGAGAAGAACAGGAATCCACCAATGTTCACAAGACTACGTCATATACATCGCAAGGCACCTCCAGTGCCAACACCTCTATGAGTTCCTGTGTGGCTGTCATCATTGTCGAAGCACTACAAAGAAGTATTGGTTTATGCCATTTTGGACATGCAAAGCGATGCTACGTTTATCCTAAAAGAAACCTGCGACGAGCTTGATGCAGAAACACAGCCAACAAAGCTTCAATTGAGCACTATCACAAGTCAAGACTCACTCGTCGACAGCCAAAGAGTCTCAAGCCTTCAAGTAAGAGGATATAATTCTGACATCAAGATTCATATCCCGGTCGCTTTTACAAGTATGTCTATTCCCACCGAAGAAGAGCACATCCCTATTAAGGCCACAGCTAAGAACTGGGAACACTTGAAACCGATTGAGGGCAAGATGCACGACCTCTTTGACTGCAATGTTGGGTTGCTTATTGGATACGACTGCTCGCAAGCCTTAACCCCAAGAGAAGTTCTTGCTGGTGGCAATAATGAACCGTATGGCATTAAAACTGATCTTGGATGGAGTTTCGTTAGTGGAAGTGATGTAAGAAGTAGACGGTCCCCTGCCACAAGGTTGCAGTGAGGGAAATACCCGCTGTAACAATGACTGACATTGTTCGAGTCCTTGAATCAGATTTTCAGGGAGCTAAGGATGACAAGAAGACTTCTCAAGAGGATTTAAATTTCCTAAAGATTATGG